GATATTAGAATCGATCCTGGGGTCTGGCCACAACTCTAGGGACCTAGTTTCTGAGTCAAAGCTTGGAAACAGTTGAGATCCCCACCTCATAACCATACATAAAATTGCTGGGCATGAAAAATCTAATATAGCTTTGCTACAAGGATTGGCCTTGGGGTCTGGCATATTCCCTTGATCTCATTTGGAGAATAGTTTGCCATGATTGCTTAGGTATCCAGGTGAGCGATACAGGCCCTCTGGGCCTCTTGTTGTCTGTGCGTTTGGCTATTGTTCATGACATCATTATAACAATCAATTTCATGACATGCCAGGGTCATTGACTTTATAAATATTAATCACCATCAAAAAATCATATATGCATAGAAAAAAATAACAGAAAGGATATCACAGTTATATATATATATATGATCACAAATTATTTGATGTACCGGTACCAATCAAAGATTCATTGATTGCATTCTGGTAGAATATTTAGAATACTAATACACTGTATAACCATGGGTTCAAAGCCAGTTCTAGTATATTGTACACGTGTACAATAAGTGTCACATTTCTGGATGACAACTACGTATATGTATCATAAATGTATAAAATATGATTTTGTTTCAATATTTAAACTTTAAACCCACAGGTCCACCAGCAGGTGCACCCGTCCCTTGTGGCAAAGGACGATGCCTTGGACTACATCGAGAGCCTCATTCTGAATCTTCTGGTCACGCTGTGTGTGTCGCACCCGCACACAGTACAGGATATCATTGACCGAGTCAACAAGACCTTTCCAGACCCGATTGACAAATGGGCTATACGCGACGCAAACAGCGCCTTGGAGAAAGGACGAAAAAACACCCCACTCGTCCTCCCAGTAGATAAAATCCACACCCTTCTTATGAAGGTTTGTTACAACTCAGTATCCTCTTTTAACATCAGTGATGTGATTCATCATAAACCAGTTAGTTGTGGTGGTTTCTTTTGGCAAATGTACCTGTAATCTGTTATACAAATTGTAACCAGGCTACGATATCAGTACAGGTGTGATATTCACTTCACTCGCACAGGTATTGTATATTTTTTTAGAAAAATAGTTCAATATATATATGTATGTATACTTTTATCTCTTTCTCTTAATCAAGTTTTCTGCTTCTTGAACTATATTGTAATCCTTTCTAAAAATGAAGACATGTTTCATGAAATATAGAAACTAATGATGAAAAAATCACTGTATACACCTTTGTGCTTGTTGCTCAGGAGGCTCTGGGGTACAGGATCGAGTTCCAGGTAACCCTTTACATCGTAGCTGTACTGGAATACATAGCTGCTGACATACTCAAGGTAAGAACCTTAAATCTGTGTTTAAAATATTCCGTGTTTTCTGGAATGCGTTATGAAAACGAAGGCTAGTAGATCTTGTGTATTATTAGGTTTTATCAATATTTTGCAACCTGTGGTCAAATGTGAACAAAACTTTGATTTAATATGTATATACATGTCCAATTGCAAAAGTACACATTGTACCTTGCGGTATGTGTCAACTTCATGCATCAGTGATTCGTTGTTAAGCTTTATGTACATGTGGTGGTAAATAAGTTTGTGTAATGTGATGTAACATACTGCAGCATAAGTTTTGTGTTTTATCATTAATTAGCTGACGGGGAACTACGTGAGAAATATCAAGCATGCCGAGATTACATCTCAGGACATCAAGGTGGCCATTTGTGCTGACCAGGTGAGATATTTACCTGTTTATATCAAATATAGTGTGCAAAAATAGCAGTAACATGTGTGCTATATACCCATATTTATTATTACAAGTGGAGAGATGAATGGAGCATTACTAACACATATCTCATCAGAATACACATAAATCATATTGCTAATTTTATAATTTGAGAGAAAAGAGTTGAATAATCTTAAGAGTAATTTATCTACCTAGACACAGGAATAATCCTAAGAGTAATTTATCTACCTAGACACAGGAATAATCTTTTGAATAATTTATCTACCTAGACACAGGAATATTTTATTGGTGACTTTGTTGCTACAGACTCAATATTAGTCTCATGAAAAGCCAATCACAATGTATCAGTGAGGACCAAAACCGAAAATGTTAGCTTGTTACTATAAAAAGGTCAACAAAGTTATTGTTAACCAAATGAATCACAAAAATCATACAATTATCAGATAAAAATCAAATTTCATGAAAAAATATGATTTAATTTTGTCATTATTTTAGTATGACTTTTAAAGATGATAATCTGTTTCAGGTACTTATGGACATGTTCTCCCAAGAGGAAGACGTGTCACTTCCTGTTGTGGAGGAACCAATCAAAACAGAGTCACTGAAGTATGAGGATATTGTCAAAGACTTTATCCATGAGGAGACCCAATACATGAGAGACTTGAACATGATCATCAAGGTCTTCAGAGCTCAATTTGTCAGGCACTTTCCAAGGAGCAAGGTTTGTGTTTCAAATCCTTGAAAGAAAAGGGGTTTTTTTTGGTGGTTTTTTCTTCAGATTTTCCTCCAATTAACATCAAGAAGTAGAAGGTAGAAGACCATTTAATGCTAAGATAAATGTAAATTGAGCATTAAAAATTTCATGAGTTGTTTCTAATTCTTGTTTTTCACTGTCAAAATGTGATAGATTTTGACCTTTGATCATTTTAAAAGTTCTGAAAAAATCCTGCTTTGAAAAAATTCTTGTTAGCTCACCTGGCCCTCATGCCATACTGTGGCGTCCGTCGTTCGTCTGTAAACTTTTTCTTTTAAACGACTTTTTCTGAAGAACTGGAGGACCTAAATTCATGATATTTGACCAGTAGGTACCTGGGATAGAGTGCTATAAAGTCTCCTCAATGACCTTGACCTACTTTCAAGGTCACATGCCTCAAATATGTTAAAAACTTCAAACAACAATATCCTAAGAACTATTTGGACTAGAGTCATGATACCTGAGTATGTTATGTAGACCAGCTGTGCAAATCTTTTTCTTAACAACAGTAATGAGGTCAAAGGTCAACTTTAAGTGCTAGTTGGGGGTCAAATGTCAACATTGGTTAAAAGCTTTAACAATCTTCTTCTCAAACTCCATAAGGCCCAGGGTCATAATATTTGGCCAATAGATACCTGGGATGGATTTCTATAAAATTGCCTAATTAAAATGACCTTGACCTTCTTTCAAGGTTACAGGGCTCAAATATGTTAAAAATTTCAAACAGCAATATCCTAAGAACCATTTGGACTAGAGTCATGATACCTGGGTATGTTACGTAGACCAGCTGTGCAAATCTTTTTCTTAATCCGGAGTCAAAGGTCAACGTGGGTTAAAAGCTTTAAAATTACAATTTCAAATTTCTAACAACAATATCTTAAGCGTTTAAGAGATGTTAAAATGTCTTGTGTTCTAGTTACCAAATTTGGTCTGTAGTTACCTATATGTCAGTTTCATGTAACAAAAGAAACAGGTGAGCAATACAGGCCCTCTCGGCCTCTTGTTCCTTTAACTGAATGATTGTAATCAAACTTTGTTTATTTAATTTTAGACTCTCATATTGAGATATTCTACATATTCCAATTACATTTTCACTTTTATAAGGAAAATATGCTTTCTCAAATACATTTCATAGTCAAAATATCTAACATAAACTGTTCTAATTTGTTTTGTCAATGGGCAACAAAATGACCAGACTAAGCAGCTGGAGTCAACATAATTTTCCAATTTGTAGTAACAGACTGTTATACTAGGGCAAAACCTGACTTTGGTATAGATGATATATAATTATTATATATATCATATAGTTGTATGCCTAGGACTTAAAAAGTTTGTATGAACAAATTTTGTATTTTTCTGATTTCCTAGGATTTGGAAGTGATATTTAGCAACATACTGGACATCTACGAGTTCACGGCCAACCTGCTCAGTTCAGTAGAGGAGCAGGTGGAAATGGCTGCAGAGAAGGACCTCCCACTTGTGGGAATCTGTTTCTTAGATATGGCAGAGGTAAGCTTGATTGATTCCAAAAAGCCGAGCAATTGCAAAAGGGTAACTTTGACAGGACATACTATGGTATAGGGAGCGGCTGTCTGTCTGTCCACTCTTTGGTTTCTGCAAGATAACTTGCTTAAATATCGTTCAATTTTGATGAAACTTGGTATGCATGTACATTGTATGAAGACTGCGCCAAGTTTGAAGTTGAGCAAAATCTGGGCAAAATTAATCAGCCTGATGTGCTGTGATTGGTCAATATACTAGCTTGCTTAAATATTATTCAACTTTAATGAAACTTGATATCCCCGTACATTATTCAAAGGCTGAGGCTAAGTTCAAAAGTGAGCAAAATCTACACATAATTAATTAGCATACTTTGCTTTGATTCATTGACAGTTTCTGGACAATAACTTAGTTAAATATGATGAGACTTGATCAATATTTACACTTAGTATTACAACGAAATCTGTCAGTAATTGATAAACAATAGAAATACATTTACCTATGGTTTTTATAGTGTAAGATGAATTGATTAATGGCCAAAGGGTCAGTTTCAATTTTCTGTTTTCATTGATTTTTTTATTGTTGTTTATTGTTTCTGTGTACAGGAGGAAGCTTTTAATGTGTATGAGAAGTATGTGGATGACATGCTGGCTCCACATGGGAAGGAACGACTATATACCCTGTTACAGAGGGAAGATCTCAACGCTACTCTACAGGTCAGTGGTTTGGTTTGTTTGTGCTATTAACATCTGTGGTCATTTAAAGATCTGCTAGGTGTAAGAGGAAAAGCAGAATACACTGAGAAAACCCACCGACCTGCGGCCAGTACCTGTTACTGCTGTATGTCACGTAGGTCTCCGCGACCTAGTGGTGGAGGGCTAGTGATCGTAGACAGTCAGAGGCCTTACCCACTCAGCCACTGTGACCTAGGGGGGGAGGGCTAGTGATCGTAGATAGTCAGAGGCCTTAACCACTAAGCCACTGTGACCTAGTGATGGAGGGCTAGTGATCGTAGACGGTCAGAGGCCTTAACCACTAAGCCACTGTGACCTAGTGGTGGACGGCTAGTGATCGGAGACAGTCAGAGGCCTTAACCCCTCAGCCACTGTGCCCTAGCGGTGGAGGGCTAGGGATCGTAGACAGTCAGAGGTCTTAACCACTCAGCCACTGTGATCTAGTGGTGAAGGACTTACAGTAATCGTAGACAGTCAGAGTCCTTAACCACTCGGCCACTGTGTCCTAGTGGTGGAGGGCTAGGGATCGTAGACAGTCAGAGGTCTTAACCACTCAGCCACTGTGACCTAGGGGGGGAGGGCTAGTGATCGTAGATAGTCAGAGGCCTTAACCACTAAGCCACTGTGACCTAGTGGTGGACGGCTAGTGATCGGAGACAGTCAGAGGCCTTAACCTCTCGGCCACTGTGACCTAGTGGTGGCGGGCTAGTGATCGTAGACACTCAGAGGCCTTAACCACTCGGCCACCGCAGATCCTCAGTCTCCTAGAGGTTATATATCTAGCCCTTAACCACTCAGCCACTGTGCACTAGTGATGGAAGGCTAGTGATCGCAGACAGTCAGAGGCCTTAACCCCTCAGCCACTGTGCCCTAGCGGTGGAGGGCTAGTGATCGGAGACAGTCAGAGGCCTTAACAACCCAGCCACTGTGACCTAGTGGAGGAGGGCTAGTGATCGTAGACAGTCAGAGGCCTTAACCACTCGGCCACCGCAGATCCTCAGTCTCCTAGAGGTTATATATAATATAGATCAGTCAATGACACAGTGGGAACAGTATTGCATAAGTCAGGCATTGCGTCACTCTCACAGAGGTTACAGGGGTCTGCCTCTTTTGGGTCAAATGTCTAAAACTCAGTAACAAGGATCAGACAAATATGGTTCGCACATGGATGAATATTTTAAGTGTAGTGGTGAGCCTGATATAATATGGGGCCACTCATCGGGGTAGTAGGGGTCACTCTAACAAGGTCACATGGATCAGTCTCACAAAGGTCATCAGGTCTTTTTTGGGAAGGTCACAGGGGTCAGTTTCAGAGATGCATCTCACAGGGGTCATAGTTATTTTAATATATGGAGTCGGTGTTACTTTTCCATTGACTATTTAAATGTACCTAAGTTTTAAGAGTTCTGTTTAAAACAAAAATATTAAATTTATATAAGGGGATATAGAAATATGTAAAACTTAAATTAAGCTGTCTACCAATAAATCATTTGTATATATTTGTCTAACTTTCATATACTGAAGATTTTAGAAATCTGTCATTTTCCTTAAATCTCAGACTTACATGTACATACTATAATACACATGAATGAAACAAGAAAGTATTTTTTCTCTGCTTTAACCTACTCTGTCTTCCTATTGTCTAAGTCTTTGTGGGTTTGACTTTACAGAATGAAGGTCATGGGTTTAAGGATGCAATGAAGTATGTGCTACCCAAGCTATTGCTGGGACCCATATACCACTGCCTGCACTACTTTGAAGTCATCAAGGTTGGTATACAAAATTCTGATGAATGAAGAGACAGGACTGATAATGTAGTTCTATTGTTTACGCAACACTTTTACTATAACTAAAATATTATTTTGTCAAAAAAAAGAAATTACCAAAGAAAAGCATTTGTATTGGTTTTAAAATGTAATGTATATATTATACTTTCATACCGTCAAGATTTATTTCACAATAATATGGTTTTATAGGACCTGACTGCAGTTTTGATGAAACTTCTTTATCTTGAATTTCACAATACAGAAAACACAGGCCCTCTTTATGTATATATAGGCCCTGCATGTATATATTAAGCAAATTATAGGCCATGCGTATATGTATCATTTTGTGAATTTCAGGCCCTTATAAGCACAAGTCCAAACGAGGAAGACCAGGAGAGTCTAGAACAGGCCAGCGGACTCCTTACCTTCCTCAAGGCTATGTTGGAGCGCAAGTTCTCCGGAAACCTGCCAAAGAAGAAACCCTGGTATGGCAACAAAAAGATCAATAGACCTGAACAGTTGAACTTTTAACTGAGAACATTTTTGATCGGAATCATTCATATAATTGTTTGCAATTGATTTTGATGCATGTATGTGCCCATTGAGATTTCATGATATAATTTCTTTGTTTTGTTTCAATTCACCTTTCCTCAATTACTATATTTGAAGTGAATGTATACATTTATGTTAGTGCTCAATGTAATTAAATCAGTATCAATTTTGACACATTTATGAATGCAATCTTCAAAAGTATGAAAGCACACTCACAAAAGGGGGAAAATAATGGTAGAACAACTGTCATTTACAGGGAGACGTCACTCCGACTCCAGGGTAAGACTGGTCGTCAAGCTGTTGTACAAAAAATGTCCGATCTCCAGAAAAGTATAGATGGCTGGGAAGGCAAGGACATCTGGCAAAGCTGTAGTGAATTCATCCTGGGTAGGTATCCCATCACACCGGATAGTTGTCAGAGTCATATCTATCAGGTCAAGGTCACAGACTTAGTTCATGTCAGGTCATGGTCACATATATTAGTCATATTTGTAATGTTAGGTCAAGGTCACACTTTATCTATATTTGTCAGTTTGAGGTCACATATTTTTTCCATGTTCCTTTTTTTGTAAGTCTAAGTCCTGGTATTGATTGGTATATGTCAGGTCAAGCTCGCATTGTTCATTTATTGGTTAAGATGATACACTTCACCGATATATGGTCTTGGCTGTTCATGATTGATCAACTTCAGATGTGACCGATTTTCATTCTTTTTGTGGATGGCTAATGTTTTAACCATGGGACCAATCAATGCACTTAACAATATTCAAGGCTTTCGTTAGACTCTTGAGAGTATTATTTTGATTCTCTAAAATGAGTTTGAAATAACATGCCTATTTGACGTGGGTTAAAAGAATGTTCTAAATGAGAGTGGTTGCAAATGTTCACCACCTACATTATTTAACAGAGGGAGTTCTGAGCAAGCAGGTAAGGGGCAGACCCACAGAGCGCCATGTCTTCCTTTTTGATGGCCTGATCATCATGTGTAAACAAAACATGAGACGCACATCCGTCACCAGTGCTTCTGGAGACTTCAAACTGAAAGAAAAGTTCCTGATCAGGAAGATCGAGATCCGAGACCGGGAAGACACAGAGGGTATGTAGGATTCAATAACATCAAATCAGTAAGGATTTTACATGGAATGAAAATGAAATACTTTACATTTTATAAAACTTTAAGAATCATCAGAAATCCAACAGAATATCTACTGATTCATGAAAGGGTCTGACAAAAGACTGTTTCTGTCTCCAGAGTGTAAGCACTGCTTTGAGATCCAGATGCGCGACCACACCAACAATGGGGTTGTACTGACTTCTAAGACAGCAGAGGAGAAGGCCAACTGGATGGCTGCTCTCATCTCATTACAAACAAGAAGGTAGGAGTTAACAGCCAACTCTTGAATTGGCTGTTTATTTGTGTAATCCGTATTCATTTTATACTTAAATATCAAATAACCCAGTGTTTTGTTGTCGTACTTTCATTACTGTATGTTATTTGATGATTGTTTTCAATGTATTTTATTAATAACATTTCCCCTTACTTATGTTAATACAAATGTATTGGAATTGACATGTAAATTATTTCATCAGCCTAGGAAAAATATTCAAATCTGTAACTTTTTGCTCAGACATTATTTATATTTCAAATTTGAAGTTGATTCAATAAGAACAGAAACATCTTATAGGAAACAATTGCTAATGGAATGCTGACGTCTAAACTTTAACATTTTGCATTGTATTACATTTTTTTTGAGGAATCAAGGTTCGAACATGATATCCTTAAAGAAATAAAATTTGCAGTTCACTTTTCTCAAAGTTGGAGTTTAGCCATAAAATTTGTAGATGGTATTGAAATAAGAAATATTCAAATTTGATAAAAATTGTATGGTTTACTACAAAATTGATTTTATTTTCTTCATAAATCACAAAAAATGGGAATTGTTGAAAAGGGTGAAGCTGTAAGGAATATTGAAGTATGAATAATATCACAATGTGTTCTTATCGTATTGTAGTATGTTAGAGAGACGACTAGACAGTATCATTCGTGACGAGGAAAAGCTTCAGCCTCTCAAGCTACCTCCCCCTGAAATATACAGGTATGACCAGAAATAATCCCCAGATTTTACAGGTATGACCAGAAATATTCCCAGGTTTTACAGGTATGACTACAAATAATCCCCCTGAAATTTACAAGTATGACCAGAAATAATCCCCAGATTTTACAGGTATGAATAGAAATAATCCCCCTGAAATTTACAGGTATGACCAGAAATAATCCCCAGATTTTACAGGTATGACTACAAATAATCCCCAGATTTTACAAGTATGACTACAAATAATCCCCCTGAAATATACAGGTATGACTACAAATAATCCCAAAATTTTACAGGTATGACCAGAAATATTCCCCAGATTTTACAGGTATGACAGGAATTAATCCCCCTGAAATTTACAGGTTGTCGCTTTCTAATTTTTATGAAGGATTTTTTTTATTGTTTGCAGTTTTTTGCACACAGTATTGTATGACTATAATATTTGAAAATCCAATCATATTAATGTATGCTGATTTCTAATTTGTTCTATACATATATGTAAAGGAAACAATGACTCAGATCCAAATTACAGTCTACTTCAGTAATATTACTCCCTGAAAATATTTAAGTGGTGTATAATATTTATTGATATGATGGAACTGAAAGATTGAAAATATAAAATTTCAGCAGATTTCACCAGTGTGTATAATATATTTCAATGTAGATTTTCTGTGGAGGATTCGCAAGAGAATATTGTGTTTGAGGACCGACGTCAGCTACCCATTGAGAGCCCTCTCATTAAAGGGGGCCTGCTTCTGAAGCTGGTGGAGAGACTGACCTATCACATGTATGCTGACCCCAAGTTTGTCAAGACATTCCTCACCACCTACCGATCTTTCTGTAAACCTCAAGAACTTCTGGAACTTCTCAAAGCTAGGTTTGTAGTTTGAACTATTTTCTACTTAGAACATCCAATAAATTGACAATTTGTCTCCCACCTTGATGTGTGCAAAGCACATGTATCCATTTCAAGAACTTCATTTTCCAAAGTCCTGACTTGAAAGTGCTTATTAATAAAAACAAATCTATTGGTACATTTTATACCCATGTTTTGGTCATAAATTTTTAACCATTTATGACATTTTGATGAAATATAAGACTAGTATAACTGAATTACACACAGATGGTGTGCAGTATACTGTGATAATTAGGCCACAGAGACCTTCATCTCAAGGTTAAAGGTCAAATAAGTGCAAAATACTTAGTAAATGTTTTGTCTTAGTCATGAATCTGTAACCTTCAAAGTTATCATGATGAAGCTTATATATATTTACATCACCCACAGAAGGTGTGCATTGTTCTGTAATTAGGTCATTAGACCTTCACCTCTAGGTCAAAGGTCAAATAAGTGCAAATAAGCTGTGATAATCCAGTCGCCTGCGGCTGGATTACTGGGACAGTTTTGTATGTATTAAAAAATGTCAATTAGTCCAAAAATACCTGGGGTAGATAAAGTGGGACGCCAGATTTATGGTGTAAAGGTTAACGATATATGACTGTAAATTAAAACAAAACTGCAAAGAAAATAGTAAAATATGTCTAATCAAGGTTAAATTCCAATTTATTGTTCACAATCAGTCAATCACAAAAATTGAGTAACCAAACAAATAGCCTACAATATACTATTAATCTAACCAAAACTATATATCTGTCCAAAAACTAAACTGATCATATTTTTGTATTTCAGGTTTGACATACCAGAGTTTCCCTTAAAATCTCAGACAGAACTACCAGAGCAAGAGAGCCAGCAAGCTCGTGAAGACCTGAAGAGGTTTCGCAAGGAGTATATCAAACCAGTGCAATTTCGGTAAATACACAACTTAGCATTAAGTGTCTTTTCTACCTAAATTTTACAACAGCCTGTTCATTCATGAATTCTGAAATATCTAGCATTATTTTTTGTTAGAATAGGGAAGATATTCCAGACTTCTTTGTCCGTTTAGGAAAATAAAGTACCTATTGTTTTTGGCTGTAAGAATAGGCAAAAAACACTGGTTCAGTTTTTCCGACTTACACCCTCAGAATCTACATCTGTGTTGTGCTCGACTTTAAATGTGATTAGTGCATTAAACGTTCACCTGACTGAAGTAAATTGTATGAAGAAACTTTATGAAGCAAAAAGCTTGTTTGAAAGGAAGGGATGAGAATAATATGAATGAATGGGTGGTATCAGATGTGTGGTGAATTTTTATATAGCAAACAGCTTGATTGGCAGGGATTTGGCAGGGGTGCTGATATTCTTGAGGAAGGTTTAATGAGGAACAAAAAATATAGATATGATTGACAGTGACCAACCAACTATACCCTGTAAGAATATTTACCTAATAACATGTAAAGGATAGGTGTTTGAACAATTATTTTATTTATAGAAAATAATAATGGAGGAATATTTTCAAAATGATTTTGAATTAAAATAAAGTATAGTCCTCCCATTTGTTTTCAACTAAATCAGAGTGTCTTGTGTTTTGCTGCAATGCTGAAAGATGTACAGATTGCTTAGATCGTTTGATCACACTCCTATAAACTGGTACACGAAGTGTTATAGACTGTAAGTTGACTGTATGGTTTGTCGATCACAGAGTGGTGAATGTGTTGCGACACTGGGTGGATCACCACTACTACGACTTCGAGCGGGACATGTCGCTGCTCTACAATCTCAAGGAGTTCCTTGCTGGGGTCAAGGGCAAGGCCATGAAGAAGATGGCAGAGTCCATTATCAAGGTCATTCATCGGCGCTTTGAGAGTCAGAGCACAGAGCGCGAGTTCACCTATCAGAAACCTCTACCCAATGTTGAGTGGCATTTGACAAGGGAACCCAAGGCTTTTGACCTCATGACGGTAAGATTTAAAGCTATGTATAGCTATTTATAGAAGTCAAGCTTTGTCCAGCCTACTACTCCTGAAATAGAAGATGGATTTCAGCAAAACATTGTAAACATCTTACCTGTCATAGATGTACCTGTGTCTGTGTAAATTGTTATGGCAAAAGACAAAACTCATTGATAAAAAAATTGAGACAGTTTCACTTGTTTTGGCAGTAAGTAAATAGGAAATAAATCGATAGAATCGACTGATTCTTACAATGTGAGTAAAGATATAAAACTTTTTGTTAAATAGACTTTTAAGTACTTATGAGGTACTGTCTCTCCCTTACAGCTACATCCCATAGAGATGGCCCGTCAGGTGACCTTGCTAGAGTTTGACCTGTACCGTGCTGTACAACCCTCTGAGCTGATCGGCTGTGCCTGGATGAAAAGTGACAAGCAAGAGACATCGCCCAATCTCTTAAAGATGATAGCATTTACCAATAATGTAAGTCTTGAGGCTTATTTTCCAAAACTTAATTGGATGTAGTAGCTAGTAGGTATACATATAGTACCACATGTCTTTAAATTCGCTGATTTCTCAAATTTACTGAGCGAAAAATACAAACTCTACATACATTAAGTAAAAAGAGATGAATATATCCGTGCAGAATAGCAAGTGTTGCCTGCAATTTCAGAAAAAAGGTATACCAAAAGACTGGCAAAAGTATTGCTTTTATTACCCGAAATATTTTGTAATGTTATAATTTCTGCAAAATGACATTCACGATTGCCCTTTGTATAATGATATTTATTGTTCATTTAATTTATATGTGAAACAACCCTGGCAGCCAGAACTATATGATGAGGAAAGAATCATCATGTAACATTACTGTGGTGTAAAATTAGGCTAACTGTTTGAAAATCATTCTTGTTTCGATTCCATGATTTGATCCCTGAATAAAAACCATTGAGTTTCAGTCAGAAATCAGTTCCAATGAAGTTTTGTGTCAATGTAATATGGCATTCCTTACCACACTTAATGTAATGTAATGAGAACCAATTCTATATCCATAATTTATCTATGGTAGGTGTAGTTGGCATTTTTCAGAGACACTATCTTACACTAGTAACAGGTAGTTCAAAAATTCCCAAAGACCCACACATTTGCTCCAAGACTAACAATCCTGGACTGGTCATTGTATTTGTGCCTTACATGTTGGTTGTATACCTACATAAATGTGTCTGTTCGTTGCAGTTTACATTTTGGATGGAGAAATGCATTGTGTTGGCTGAGAATATAGAGGAGAGGGTCGCCATTGTGTCCCGTATTATGGAGATTATGCTCATTTTCCAAGAGTTGAACAATTTTAATGGTGTTTTAGAAGTAGTTAGTGCAATAAATTCTGCTCCAGTGTACCGACTGGAACATACCTTTGAGGTAAGTGTACATGTTTTGGTTGCTGTACATGTAAAATATAACCACAGATACTAATTTGTGAACCGCTTTGAGATGACCTACAAACTAGGTTGTGATAAAGCGGTATATAAGAACCTCAAATTATTATCATTATTAATATATAGTATATAGTAATTACCTTTAAACATTTGAGTATATTTGTCATATAGTATCATAGCTCAGAAATTCACCACATTCAAGATATGCAATGTTTCTGACTTGCTTAGACTTGCTAATTAATGTGCTGTGAATAATGGATAATTTTTGTGGCAGTATCTGTTTTTGTGTTCAGTAAAAACTTGAATAAAACAAGATTCAAGTTTTATAAGTACTACATACAATTCCAAACCACATTCCAACACTGCAAGAATTAGTGTGTTTCTCCATATTAAAACCTAAGATAACACTAACTCATTCCTGTATTTATTCCTTCATAGTCATTCCAAATAACATCATAACCAATGTTAAGAGCTAAATATATAGTCAGCGTAGTTGTGTTTCACTTTATTACAATGTAAAAGGATAGCATTTTCTACCTGTAATACGACCAATTATATTATCATTTCAGCTGTCGGGCATATACAAATTTCTTTTTCCTCTTTCCTACTTATGTAGGGGATCATAGTAAAAAAAAACATGTCTATGTAGTAATGATACCTCATGGATTAGACAAGTGAGACAACAAGTTCATTGTCATGACTTTCTTGTTTACAGGAAATCCCTCACAGGTTTATGAAGTCTTTCAATGAAGCCAGGGAACTCAATTCCGATCACTTCAAGAAATATGTAGAAAAACTACGGTCCATAAATCCTCCATGTGTACCCTTTCTTGGTGAGTTGTTATATACAGTGTAATCTGTGTAAACCGACCTCAATATAATCAGGTTTCTTGGTGAGTTGTTGTATACAGTGGAAACTTGACTCAATATAATGAGGTTTCTTGGTGAGTTAAAAACAGTGTAACCTGTGTAAACCGACCTCAATATAATCATGTTTCTTGGTGAGTTGTTGTATACAGTGGAAACTTGACTCAATATAATGAGGGTTCTTGGTGAGTTAAAAACAGTGTAACCTGTGTAAACCGCCCTCAATATAATGAGGTTTCTTGGTGAGTTAAAAACAGTGTAACCTGTGTAAACCTACCTCAATATAATCAGGTTTCTTGGTGAGTTGTTATATACAGTGTAACTTGTGTAAACCGTCTTTAATATAATCAGGTTTCTTGGTGAGTTGTTTTATACAGTGTAAACTGGACTCAATATAATCAGATTTCTTGGTGAGTTATATACAGTGTAACCTGTGTAAACCGACTTTAATATAATCAGGTTTCTTGGTGAGTTGTTATATACAGTGTAACCTGTGTAAACTGGACTCAATATAACTAGGTTTCTTGGTGAGTTAAATACAGTGTAACCTGTGTAAACTGGACTCAATATCATCAGGTTTCTTGGTGAGTTGTTATATACAGTGTAACCTGTGTAAACCGACTTTAATATAATCAGGTATCTTGGTGAGTGAGAGGCTTAGGATTGATTATAGTATCACTTTCAAAAACAATCTTTTCCAACATAGACACAAACCTTCACAAAAGCCTTTTATATGTTGTTATCTTTAGTTAATAGGTAACCTAAAAAATAATTATGAGTCTGAATTACAGTTAATTGTTCAGTTCTGTTACCTTAACTATACTAGTCTTTTTCTTCATGTCATAATAGGTTTTTTCATTGAAGAACACTGATTTTAGAGATAAGACAGCAACACATCCTTTAAATCTCAAGTTAAGAAGGAAATGTATGGTACCTATAGACAAATCAATGGTTTATTAAAACAATCATGTACAACAACATATCAATAGAATTTAACACCATATAGATGTGCTTTTGCTACCATTGTCGACCAAGGACTTGATATAATCATTCTGAAAGTGTTTTTACAAGCATTTGAACTTTACCTGTCTGCATCTAGATGATAAAATAATATTTAAATTGAAAGCACCTCAAAAGTAGAAATTAAAGAGCTGCTTCATAATTGCATGAGATGGTTGGGAGACACATTTATTCAGAGGGCACACCAGCCAGCAGATATTAAAACCAAACAAATATCTGGACCCCACACCCATTATATATTAAAACAAATACCTCCCATCTTCCCCAATGGGATTATAATATAGCCTTAATGTCGTTTAGTAATAAGAAATGTGTAAATACACTCGGATGATTTATTAATTGTATAAATGTTTTTACCTTTCAGGAATGTATCTAACAAATATATTGAAAATAGAGGAGGGCAATCCTGATTTTCTTCCAAATAGGCCCGAAGGAATAATCAATTTCAGTAAGCGACGGAAAGTTGCCGAGATCACTGGGGAAATACAGCAATATCAGAATCAACCTTACTGTCTTAAGGGGGAACCTGACATGCGGGTAAGTTAGGAAAAGTCTTGTATGTCTAAGAAGGTTGAATATTTATTATATATTCTACATATATAGGAAAACCATGTTTGATATAGGTATCAATTTGCTCATTATTCTAGTCATATTAAAAAAAAGTATCATCAAATTAATTACAATTAATGTAGAACCTAGTAATGTCCTGCTGATCTTTTTGTTTGTCTTCGTGCCTGCACATCAGAATATTCAGTGGAATTTACAAATGTCCTTTCTTTGAGACAATAAATATTAAGTAAATCCACAGACATCATTTATAGAAGTTTCATTGTATTTGTTGAACATGCTTTTTAATTTGAAATTTGTAGGAATACTTTGAGAAGTTAAATCCTAGGGAAGGCATGTCGGAGAAAACATTCAATGACTATTTATATAACAAGTCACTGGAGATAGAGCCAAGGGGAGCAAAACAGGCGCCAAAATTTGTAAGTTCACAAGACCATAGTATAAAGTGCATAATTTGTACATTCAAAAATGTGATATTCCTAACATTTGCTCTACTGATAAACTCACCTTCATTATAGAGGGCAAAATATTTCCCTGTAAACAGTTTTCAAATGAGGACGGGCAATAGAGTTACACTTATATGGATAGGCTGCATTTTTTTTCCATTCCGACATCTTGATAATCCTCTGATAATTTTGAATTATGAGAATAATTTATAAAATTATAAAGTAATGGAGATGACTTTCCTTAAAAGATCAAAGAGAGATTAGCAGTAATGTACAAAGTTAGTGGTTTTTACTCATGTTTATACTGTTAAGAAATAACCTCACGGGGTACACTGTATTACATTTAATAACATTCAGTTTACATTTTCACAAATTTCAAAACTGAAATTTCGTTGCAGCCAAGGAAGACTGAGTACAATCTCAAATCTCCGGGGACAAAGGCCATGTCCACGCGACACGGGGCCTCTGTCAAAGTTTTCCCCTTCACTACCTTCAAGGACCCCGGCTACATACAAATCAAAGAGGAGGAAGTGGAGGCTGTATCGCCCCACTGTACCACGCCTCCCACACCAACCACCCCTCTCACACCACCTGCCAATGCTGGCTCAGACAGTGTGTTCGCACCGGTCGTCCTAGGCGGTAAGTACCACCCTACACATAACACCACTCGCTATTAACATGTTTGTTCTGCGTTTGCACCAGTCATCCTAGAAAATGTTGATATATTTGGCCATTGTGCTGTCCTTGAGATGGTAATTTGTTCCTTGGAAAAAATATAAGGGACATCTCCATTGCCAAGGAATCGCTAACACAGAGTTATTTTAGTTTTTCTTTTAAAAATGCACTCATAAATAGTGAAACAAAACAGTAACATGGATGTCATAGCTGAAACAATACAATGTGCTCAGATTACTGGCGAGGCCTATGGGATATCTGTTTCACACAAACATGATTGTGCAATAGTATTACAAATTTGTAAAATGCAAGTTTTGAAATTGAGGTCAGTTCTTGAAAACTGCTAAAAAATTATCCATATTCCTTGAAAAATTGCTGGAATATATATAATGGAGACAATTGACATTTTTTCTTTTCTACAAAGTGAAAGGACTGTTTCAGAATTTTGTGTTAATAAGAAGTTCTGCACTCTTTTTATACCGCTGCCATTTTACCGGAGGTGGCATATATAGCATTGCCCATGTTTATTCCATCACAGTTCATTGTCATGACTACCAATTTCATTTCTTAACAGATTTTTGTCAAAGTTTTTACAAAGTTTGTATTTCAGAACCCCAAGAACAACGCCATGGTCACTATTGCTTTTTATTAATCAACCACATGGCCAAAGGGGCATTCATGTTTTACAGACGCTTTCTAAATATATAAGATTCCAGAATATTTGGCCTGAAAAATTGCAAGAAATTGCTTGAAATTGCTAGAAAAGAGCTAAAAATTCTGTAATAACAATGTGAAAGCTATCTGATGCATAATTATGGGTTTATAGTTTTTGTTTATTGACTCTATTTTCCTGGTTACAGATGCCCTGACCAGCAGTACTTGGACCCTCAGTACTATGACATCATCTGGTTCCATGACTAGTATCATTCATCCACATACTTCGCACACGGTGCCGTCGCCACTAGTCCTTGACAAGCCCATCAGCTTACAACCGCCACCACTGCCACCCAGAAAACGCAACAGAGACTCCACCAATAGTGATGTGTTCTTTACCCACAATGCCCCTGACCCTCCTCAGATCCCCCCTCGTGGTAACCCCCCACCCCCTGTGCCCCCAAGGAAGGACTCCATGTTCAGTACCCTTCCTCGGTCCCACAGTGTGTCACAACAAACCCGTCACTCTTCCAGCAGTCTGCCGGCTCACAATAACTTAAGTGCAACATTGCCGCGGTGTAACACTGCTGACAAAGACACAAGCACGCGGCCACTGCTAGCGAGCATGTTAAACGTGAATGGAGACAATACAGTGGTAATCCCTGGCCAATCAGTCACCCCTAAACTACCCCCAAGGACTTACCGTATCGCACATTCTCGGCAGAAAAGTAGTTAGGTACGCTTGGCTCATTGGCAGTCAGGTGAAAAAAAGTCACTAGCAAAACATTGATTGCTGTGAGTAAGGAGATTTTCATCCACATGTAATCAAGATGTGAACAAGTGCTAATGACAAACCCTAGTGTGTGTAGGACTGGGTCTGTTGGGCAACCTACAAATGTGTTCGTGACAGCAATCCTGGATTTAATGGGATATTTTATTCCAAAACTGTACAGTTTTGGGTGAATAAAAGAAACTGTTTGATAACAATCTGTTTTAAAATAATTCTATATACACATGGTTTCCAGTGTTGGAGCTTAATGTCTGAACGTGTCCATTAGTTGAGGAAGAGTTTCTTTTAAAGAGTGAATTCTCGTAAAATGCATTATTAATTATTAATTATGTTATTTGTAACGTGTTGTCTGTCCACACCACAGACAATCCACTGTGCCAAAAACTGTTTGATATGTTCAATACTGCTTCGTGTGCTACATCTGTTGTGTGAGTGGGCTTGGGGCCAGACATGTTGTGTGTAAGGGGGAGAGAGGGTTAACATAATCAAAAATGTCTTGTCAATATACATGGGCTTACAGAGTGTGGCTTAAAACAGTTTGCCGATGAAGTTGATTTGTAGCTTCTCAATGTACACAATTGTTATTTTGTGTGGTGATAGCTAGTATATTGATGTATAGAAAGTGATCAGGATGCATGTGAACATGATCTACAAGGTACATTGTATCAAATATAATGTGTGTTACAGTGCTGTTTCGAAACCCTCGAACATCTGGTCTCTGTTTCACAAATTATTTCTTTTCTTACCTTAGATTTTTATCAAACTACCACTAGAAAAAACAATTTGACAAATCTTATTTCAGATCCTCATTGATTATCTTTGAAATCTGTTTTTTCTACAAAATCAAGAATATCTTAACAGTTCTGTTGTTGAAATTCTTACCAATACCAAAATTTGATGTGCAGGAATCCAAAATCAGAGGATTGGAAAACCAAAGAAATTAAGTAAAAAATGCCAGTATCGTTTTAAAATTTTAGTTAAGAAGTCATATTCAATGTAATATTGACAACTGGGCATCATAAAAATTTATGTTTTGTCCACTAGTGTTTGTGATCATGACATACGCTGTGCAAGCTTTATTCTGAAAGCAAGACGGTTTTAAACAGCCTCATAAGTAGAGCAGCATAATGCTCTAGTATTCAAATCAATTTTACTTTTAAAAAGTATCAGCAGTAATATCATGATAGTTATGGTGGCATATATCTACAGTCAAGTCCGTTAATGAGCCATCATAAATTATCTGATGGAATAGGTATCGCATCAGCATAGCTTCCATTAGAAGTTGACCAGCCCTGACCATGTTCAATACCTGCCACTGATATCGACAGATAAAGAGAAAAGGATATCATTGTGTCTTGTCAAATTAACACAATTTTCATGGCAAGTCCACTTCATGGTAGTGTTTACGGGGAAATGTTTGTCGTAGTTGAATGTTCAAACTTCAAGATGAGGTTAAATCATGGGTGGAAATATCAGTCCAAGGCTTACTTCAATAGACAGAGTATTTCCATGAAAGATGAAATTAACACTGGGTGAATAGACTTTATCAATGAACGGTGAAAGTTTCACTAGACCAAACTTTCCCTGTATACAAAATTAATTTAAGTACAGTATCTGTCTCCCTGTAGTACATGGCATGGGGACGGGGTGCCTTTCCAAAGAGTTCAACTTATTTTTGTTTTATCTTTTTGAAAGGTAATTGTTTAGTTAAAGGATGTCTGTTTTTTTAGAAGGTACACAAGAATGAGTGCATCTGTTACCCTTGTGTAGTTATTTATCATATTTCTACTTCTACTTCTAAATGGTACTGACCAACTTCAACAATTTGAAGATAAAATGTCAGACGAGGAGTGAAACATGGAAAGAGATTGTTTTTAAAAGATATGAGATGGTCTAATTTGGGTTTGAAAAGTGTCGGTAGAGGGCTGATTTGAATAATTCCGTTGTGGGGCTCGAAATAAAATTAAAAGGTTGTTAAGGGGAGATGACTCTTTGAAGCAATTGTCATGATTTTCTTGGAGCAAAGTTGCTGTCAGATTATGAAATGAAAATCAATAATTGTCAATAAGACCATATCCAAGGTAACCGATCAAATTTGAAAATATCTGTAAAATAAAATAACTTACAGATATCGACTCCTTTCAGAATTACACTATCAAACAATAGGACCATCCATCTTTACACAGTCGCTATAAGTGCTTGTACTAGCCTTTTTGAACGTTTGGTTCCAAACAATTCCAGAATTGTATTGATATTAAATAGGAATATAAAACATATCTTTAAATCAATATTCTTGGTCCTCTGCTCTCTGTTTTACTCAATTTGAGGAGGGGATGGTGTCAATGCATGTTTCAATTTGATAAGCTGATGGTGTAATCCCTGAACAAAATTACAAAATTAAGCAGTCCAGTATACACATGCTTAATCTTTGCATATCAGAGAACGATGACCATCAATGCAGGTATGTGAGGCTCAGAGAGAGAGAATGAGCGATTGGGAGAGAGTTCTAACATGTACAAAGATATGGCCGTGCTATTTTCTTCGAAAAATTCTGTGTTTCTTGTGTATGTTGTGTGTTCATGACTACAACAGTTGGTATAACAAGAGGACCTATTTTATGTTGTGTTCCATCACAGGCACTAGCACTGTGCTCATCAAACAGAAAGTCCCCATGCCTATGGTTCTTTTCATTCAGCTCCAGAGCTTTGACCTTTGAACACAGGGACCAAACACTTTGATATAAAGACAATTCTCATTAGAATAAATAATACGGAACTATAAACTGTTTCTATGGCCATCATTTCAATGTTTAGTCCCTGTGAATTTGTTGATAAATATATGAATTAAGATCATGATTCAGTAGGCTGTTCGATTGATGATGGGAACATGAAATACTATATGAAATATAAAGTTGAATATCCTGGTGATTAAAATATTGACATGTTCCTGAATAGCCACTTGTGTTGCAGTTAATTTTATCCTAGATATATAATTATGATACCATTATAGCCAGTTTATCTAATTACTAAACGTTAATGAGGTTAGTTACTGCATACACAACAAGCATGAATATATAGTATTTTCAGCTGTTGCCTTTCATAAGTCAGATCTCGGCTCAGAAAATTAGAACAAGCAAATTTTTTAAATACACACAAGCAGGGAATTTCATATTGTTACTCCACAGTTCTTTCATAGCCCTTGTGTAAAAAGATCAATCATCAGTCTAAAAGCCTTAAAATAAGTATAGTTGTGTGACATGGAAAGTTCGGTGACTATTTTGTAATAAAATTGACAGCTGGTTTAGAGAAAGCTTTAAAAAAAGTTGAAACAGGACACTCGACAGCACTGGTAACATTGATAGACGTCCTAACCAAAGTAGTACCTATGTACTGTAAATAGTTGGTCTTTGACACAGAACACATCTAAAGGGTAACGGATCATGTGTGTATTGAAAACTTTGAGGTACTGAACATTTTGTAACCTATCTGGTTATCAAATAAATTTGTATTGCTAACGTTGGGGTCTATGGTTAGCAAGTACATGTAATAGGAATAATCTGTTGTCTATGGTTACCAGGTACATGTGTAAAGAAAACTTCTTTGTCTTTAGTTACCGAGAATATTTGCACTGAAAATATTGTGGGTCTATGGTTTTATACCAAGTATAGAGGTGTACTGAACACTTTGGGTTTATGGTTACTGGGAATGAGTGTACCGAAAGTTTTTGGGGCCCAGAGTTACCGAGAGCATGTGAACTGAAGACTTCACTGTCTATGGATCGATGTACTATGTACTGAAGACCTTTGACATGTGTGGGCAAGTATGCCTTATTACCAACAACAGTTGCGCTCGAATGTGGAATCTCAGGGTGAGGGAATGTGTTGTTGAGGTGCAGGGATATCTCAGGTGATATGGGCAAGGTTTATCGGGGACTGAAAGCAATAGTCTAATATGTGCAGGGATGTTATCTGGTTCTAACATGTCACAAATAGTTGTAATTATATCTGTGTGTAGTGTCTTTTGTGTGTCTCTGTGTGTCTGTGTGTCGCTGTGCTGCTGTAAGGCAACATCAACTTATATCACATGGGTGTGTATGTGTTTTAGGTTGTTGGCAGTCCTGTATCACCCGTATACCAAATAACTGTTACTGACATATGCTGAAGTCGACTGTGTTCCGACATTCGATTGATTTTAAATTGCAAAAGTAAAAGTGATTTTTTTCTATGTAAATCAGGCAATACATATATTTTGGATCATGAAATTATACAGAAACTTTGACCATTTGAACTTGGAACAGATGGACATAGCAGTTTCTTTTGATTAATGTATGATAATGTTGATAACTTATGTATACATTTTTTACAGTGGCGGATTGTAACGTACTAATTTACATAGGAATTTGCATACATCAGTTGGAATTTCAGAAGATTTGCGATGTCCTCTGCAAATCTTCAATACATAAATAGAAGTTGTCAGATTTATAACACAAATATTTTTGTTATTTTCAGTTTTATAACCCTCCTGCCCTGGATTCGAGCAAAAGTTAAAAAAACAAAAACAGTGATCATTTTCAAATTTCATACTTCGATCAATCCTTTTACTTCAGAAATTCTTTTGTTTACGAGCATATTTTATTATTCAGTTGTCATAAACAGGTAAATAGTACTTAAAATGCACAAGAAATAAAGTACTGTTGGGATATCAGGACAGATGTACAAGAAAAACAGTATTTCTCCAATTTCCATGTCTGTAAAAAAAATTTTTTTTAAAAGGGTTGACCTAACGTAACTAATTAAATAAACTTAAATGCATAAAATCAAAGAGAAGCTTTAGTGCTGTTACAGTCAGAAAGGTGGACCAGATGCAATATTAATAGATGATCAAACTGGACATTTTGTTTCTATGTGATTGGTGGTATATGTTAGCCTATTTTACCTGTGATAACTCCGGAGTGAGAAGGTGGGGGAGTTAAGTCCTTAGCAAGAGGATGTTTTTTGNGGGGGGGATGGCTTCAATTGCAACCCACAATTGTTTTGAAATCAACAAAGGGGTGAACTTGGCAATGACCAAAATTTGAAAGAAAGGTGGAAAAAAGTGATCTATATACTAGAGATGGGGTTATCATAGGTAATGTAGGGTAGCTTGATTGTTGTAAGTGCAATATCTTGCAACAAGGAGATGAGATTGCTCTACATGGTAAATGAGGGAGGATGGCATTGTGAATGGTCGTTGTGGTATTGTGATAAAACTGTACCGTAGGGTGAGTGTGCGAGAGAGCTGCTGAACAGTGCGAGTGTGTTAAGGAACTTTATACATAGCTGTTGTGAGCTTGCTATGCCATTCAGTGTATTTGGTTGGATCGGACATGATGTAATTAAACTCATCCACCCTTGAAGACACATTTTAACTTTTCCAATATAACGGTGTGAAAAGTTCATAATGAAATTTCAGAGGTGAATGAGTTAACATGTAGAAAGAACAGTATTGTTTCTGTTACAGAGAGTCTTATGTACCATGTAAACAGTTAGTCTGTAAGTCTGTTGTACCATGTATAAAGTTAGTCTGTCAGACTGTTGTACTGTGTATACAGTAAGTCTGTAAGTCTGATGTACCGTGTATACAGTAAGTCTGTCAGACTGATGTACCATGTATACAGTAAGTCTGTAAGTCTGATGTACCGTGTATACAGTAAGTCTGTCGGTCTGATGTACCGTGTATACAGTAAGTCTGTCAGTCTGATGTACCATGTATACAGTAAGTCTGATGTACCCTGTATACAGTAAGTCTGTAGGTCTGATGTACTGTGTATACAGTAAGTCTGTCAGTCTGATGTACCATGTATACAGTAAGTCTGTCAGTCAGATGTACCATGTATACAGTAAGTCTGTCAGTCAGATGTACCATGTATACAGTAAGTCTGTCAGTCAGATGTACCATGTATACAGTAAGTCTGTCAGTCAGATGTACCATGTATACAGTAAGTCTGTCAAACTGATGTACCATATATACAGTAAGTCTGTCAGTCTGATGTACCTTGTATACAGTAAGTCTGTCAGTCTGATGTACCATATATACAGTAAGTCTGTCAGTCTGATGTACCAAGTATACAGTAAGTCTGTCAGTCTGATGTACCATGTTTACAGTAAGTCTGTCAGACTGATGTACCATGTGAACAGTATGTCTGATGTACCGTGTATACAGTTAGTCTGTCAGACTGATGTACCATGTAAACAGTATGTCTGATGTGCGTAAGTCTGTCAGACTGATGTTACATGTATGCAGTAAGTCTGTCAGACTGATGTACCATGTATACAGTAAGCCTGATGTACCGTGTATACAGTAAGTCTGTCAGTCTGCTGTACCGTGTATACAGTAAGTCTGTCAGTCTGCTGTACCGTGTATACAGTAAGTCTGTCAGACTGTTGTACCATGTATACAGTAAGTCTGTCAGTTTGATGCTACATGTATACAGTAAGTCTGTCAGACTGTTGTACCATGTATACAGTAAGTCTGTCAGTCAGATGTACCGTGTATACAGTAAGTCTGTCAGGCTGATGTACCATGTATACAGTAAGTCTGTCAGTCAGATGTACCATGTATACAGTAAGTCTGTCAAACTGATGTACCATATATACAGTAAGTCTGTCAGTCTGATGTACCATATATACAGTAAGTCTGTCAGTCTGATGTACCGTGTATACAGTAAGGCTGTCAGACTGATGTACCATGTATACAGTAAGCCTGATGTACCGTGTATACAGTAAGTCTGTCAGGCTGATGTACCATGTATACAGTAAGTCTGTCAGACTGATGTACCATGTATACAGTAAGCCTGATGTACCATGTATACAGTAAGTCTGTCAAACTGATGTACCATGTATACAGTAAGTCTGATGTACCATGTATACAGTAAGTCTGTCAAACTGATGTACCATGTATACAGTAAGTCTGTCAGGCTGATGTACCATGTATACAGTAAGTCTGTCAGTCTGATGTACCATATATACAGTAAGTCTGTCAGTCTGATGTACCATATATACAGTAAGTCTGTCAGTCTGATGTACCAAGTATACAGTAAGTCTGTCAGTCTGATGTACCATATATACAGTAAGTCTGTCAGTCTGATGTACCATATATACAGTAAGTCTGTCAGTCTGATGTACCATGTACACAGTAAGTCTGTCAGTCTGATGTGCTGTGTATACAGTAAGTCTGTCAGTCTGATGTACCATGTATACAGTAAGTCTGTCAGTCTGATGTGCCGTGTATACAGTAAGTCTGTCAGTCTGATGTACCGTGTATACAGTAAGTCTGTCGGTATGATGTGCCGTGTATACAGTAAGTCTGTCAGTCTGATGTACCTTGTATACAGTAAGTCTGTCAGTCTGATGTACCATGTATACAGTAAGTCTGTCAGTTTGATGCTACATGTATACAGTAAGTCTGTCAGACTGTTGTACCGTGTATACAGTAAGTCTGTCAGTCTGATGTACCATGTTTACAGTAAGTCTGTCAGTCTGAGGTACCGTGTATACAGTAAGTCTGTCGGTCTGATGTACCATGTATACAGCAAGTCTGTCAGTCTGATGTACCATGTATAAAGTAAGTCTGTCAGACTGTTGTACTGTGTATCCAGTAAGTCTGTCAGACTGATGTACCGTGTATACAGTATGTCTGTCAGTCTGATGTACCGTGTATTCAGTAAGTCTGTCGGTATGATGTGCCGTGTATACCGTAAGTCTGTCAGTCTGATGTACCATGTATATAGTAAGTCTGTCAGTCTGATGTACCATGTACACAGTAAGTCTGTCGGTATGATGTACCGTGTATACAGTAAGTCTGTCAGTCTGATGTACCGTGTATACAGTAAGTCTGTCAGACTGATGTTACATGTATACTGTAAGTCTGTCAGACTGATGTACCGTGTATACAGTAAGTCTGTCAATCTGATGTACCATGTATACAGTAAGTCTGTCAGTCTGATGTACCGTGAATACAGTAAGTCTGTCTGTCTGATGTACCGTGTATACAGTAAGTCTGTCAGTCTGATGTACCATGTATACAGTAAGTCTGTCAGTCTGATGTACTGTGTATACAGTAAGTCTGTCAGACTGATGTACCGTGTATACAGTTAGTCTGTCAGACTGATGTACCATGTAAACAGTATGTCTGATGTGCCGTGTATACAGTAAGTCTGTCAGTCTGATGTATCGTGTATACAGTAAGTCCGTTGGTATGATGTACCGTGTAAACAGTAAGTCTGTCAGTCTGATGTACCATGTATACAGAAAGTCTGTCAGTCTGATGTACCGTGTATACAGTAAGTCTGTTAGGCTGATGTACCATGTATACAGTAAGTCTGTCAGTCTGATGTGCCGTTCAACAGTAAGTCTGTCAGTCTGATGTACCGTGTATACAGTAAGTCCGTTGGTATGATGTACCGTGTATACAGTAAGTCTGTCAGTCTGATGTACCATGTATACAGTAAGTCTGTCAGTCTGATGTTACATGTATACAGTAAGTCTGTCAGTCTGATGTACCGTGTATACAGTTAGTCTGTCAGACTGATGTACCATGTAAACAGTATGTCTGATGTGCCGTGTATACAGTAAGTCTGTCAGTCTGATGTACCGTGTATACAGTAAGTCTGTGGGTATGATGTACCGTGTATACAGTAAGTCTGTCAGACTGATGTACCATGTATTCAGGAAGTCTGTCAGTCTGATGTACCATGTATACATTAAGTCTGTCAGTCTGATGTACCATGTATCCAGTAAGTCTGTCAGACTGATGTACCATGTATACAGTAAGTCTGTCAGACTGAGGTACCGTGTATAAAGTAAGTCTGTCAGTCTGATGTACCGTGTATACAGTAAGTCTTTCAGACTGATGTACTGTGTATACAGTAAGACTGTCAGTCTGATGTACCATGTATACAGTAAGTCTGTCGGTCTGATGTACCATGTATACAGTAAGTCTGTCAGTCTGATGTACCGTGTATACAGTAAGTCTGTCAGACTGATGTACCGTGTATACAGTAAGTCTGATGTACTGTGTATACAGTAAGTCTGTCAGACTGATGTACCGTGTATACAGTTAGTCTGTCAAACTGATGTACTGTGTATATAGTAAGTCTGTCAGTCTGATGTACTATGTATACAGTCGGTCTGTCAAACTGATGTACCGTGTATACAATAAAGTCTGGAAACAATTCTATATAGTCTACTGCACATATTTGTCCGAGATATTCTCTCACAGACTGCTGCCAAGCTCGATCAGCTAGTGTTGCTGTTGAGATGTCGTCAACTGCATCATTGCAGTATCTTTATATTATGATAAATAACACTTTGCCAAACAATATGTACATGTTATGAAAAAACTGTTCTTTTTAATTCGTAACATAAATGTTGATAAGATGTGTATGTAAACTTTAATATGTATCAAATGTCAAATGAATAAAATGGGATACCCATTGCAATTGTGAATTATGGTTTATTATTTTATTTTCTCTTTTGCTATTTATAATCCAAAAGCAAAAGTTCTAAAACAGAAGCACAGTTACGTGTTGTAACCAAAGATGCATGACGTTATTGTACATGTGTTCCTACATTTACATGTACTACGGAACATACACTAGTAATAGTCTTGCTCAAGTCAATGATTGCTTAAAGAGGGGAGGTGGCAATCCATACAAGCCTCTGTCATTGCAAGAAAAGGAATTATAATATGTCTTCTACTATTAGAACAGATTCCTCTATT